CTGCTCATAAGTAACTCATTTATAATGACTTTTGTTTTGCAATATTTTTTCGGCAAATATTTTGGAAAACAAAACAAAATCAATGATTTGCTCGAAAAGTACTCGTAACTGAACAACAAATTGCTGAAAAAATCATATCTAAGGGTAAAGTGTGTCAAATACCGGCCCTATTCTGTAAATGGTTTCAAAATCAAAATGATTTGAATACTGAAACTGAGAATAAACTGAAAAAACACATGAAAATAGAGATTTAGTTTGCGAATCAAACCATAAATATATGCAAAGTCTTGTTTGTCATCAGTCGTCCATTCATTGAATCACTAGTTATTTGACTCTCGATGGGAAAGACCTGTCGTTCCTTTCGTGGACATCGGTTGAGTGACGAATGTCTTTTCGATAGAGTGGCGATCGATTGGCGCCGGTATCTAATCGGCTCTCCTTGTGATCGATAACGGCTTCTGGAAAACGAAATGACAAGTCATTAGTTACGAGACTCATGAGTGCAGCCAATGGTAAGACTGACTGAATTTGCGATTGGAATTCAATGAAAGATGAGTCGATGGACGAGAAGTAATGGCGGATGAGTTGGGAGATATCGAGTCCTTGTCTTTGGAGGCGACACCGGCTGTCGTTGAGGCCGTGTTTCGGTCGCTGTTTTGGTTGAGTTTGTCTTTAGCCGAACGCTTTGCGATCTCCGCAAACGTGAGGACACGTATGGAACCGTTGTGGTGATGATTAGAGTCTTGGGCACAGCTCTCGTCGGCCGTCGAAGACGTCTCATCAGTGCTTTGATCGTCATTTCCGTTGCATTCGTGTGAATTCGTGTTAAACAATGGGCTGGTATTGGATTTGTGGGCCGAATGCGAGTTCGACATCGAGTTCGTGTGAGGGGTGGAGCCGGTGGGCGACATGGGCTCCACGGGGGTCGGCGTCGCACTGGAATGTGAATGGTTTTCGTCGAATGAGTCCGAGTTTATGGAAAACGAGTCGTTAATGCCGTTGAGCACAATGGGGGTCGACATCAGAGCACTCGTCGACGACTTCTCTTTTGATTGGTTCGCAGTTTCGCACCATTCGGCTGACGATGAGTCCCGTCCCGAAGACAACGGACACGAGTCCAGCGGACAGTGGTTTAGGATTTTGGCAGGAATTGCATTCATAGTAGTAGTGGTGGCGGAGGGACAGTGATCCGAGTCATGACTAGTTGGGCTCACTTTCCAACACGTGCTTGAGTTAGAGCTCGAGTTGGACGTCCTCCGGGTCCGGGAGGCGCCCCCTTCACCGCCATTCAGACTCACGTTGTCGTCCGAATTGGCGTCCATTTCGCTGCAATTGCTTTTGCTGTTCATGTCTTTCGTTGGTTTCGGACTAAACGTGCCGTTCGGTAGGCCGTGAAGAGGGGTCGCAGACGTTATGGTCGACTCGTTTCTGGCGCTACCGTTGCTCTCATTCCTGTGCTTAACAGTGCCTTTAACGACGTCGGCCAACGACGAGCACTGGGCGCCTACCGCACTGTCCTCACTGTGTTTGCCATCATTTGAGCGAATCGTTGCACAACTGGGCAGAGGAGGGAAGGACTGGGCCTTCAGGTCGAAGGGCTCGTTGTGCGCCGTTACGGACGCCACAAGTCTTGAGGCGGAAGCGGCGGTCATGGGGGCGACGGGGGGTTTGGGAGCACTGGAACTATCACTGCTATGACTAATTGGGTTCTCGTTGTCCTCCTTTCGCGGCCTTCGGATCCGATTCCTGATGTCTTTAGGGTCGCGATAGTCTCGACTCTTGTGAGCACCGAATGAGTGACTCGACGGCGAGTTCGAGCGGTTGTCGAGTCGGCTCTCAGCCGTCGACGACGAGTCCGAACATTGGCTTAACTGCGATCGCGTGGAACCGGTGTTCGATGAAGAACTTTGAGCTGATCCGTCGTGTTTGGGCGACAATGGGTTCACTACAACCGGGCCGTCGACGCCACCGATATTGGCGTTCAATTGGTTCTCAGCGAGCGTTACGTAAGTCTTTGAATGCGAGTAATGTTTAGCACTGTTATAGTGGCTGTTATTTGCGATATAATCCGTCACAAGCACTGAGCCATTCGTAGGTGTGATGGCCAGTGGTGTGGCCGCACCGGTGC